ACCATAATAGGAACAGAGCCATATAGTGGCAGGCAAGCTAACTGCACAAGTTGACTGACTGTTGTCACATTAGTTGTATGGCCAGCTTCAGACCTACATAAACAAGATAATTATAATCTGATTCAGCTGATTTCTTGAAAGTCAAGAAAGTGTTTTCTAATATCTGTGGCAATTTGTTTTATATGTATACATGATTGATACCTGCACTAGCAGTTCACGTAAAACTTGTAGCTTACCTCTTCTTTGGTAAAATTGTTTTGATTTAGGCAAAATCATCACTGGGAGGTTAGTAAATTGGATTTTCAGGAGATTCACATGTAATCGGCATTGTACAAAGACAGCCTTTATGGTCGCCTTGTGACACCCACTTTCTCTTCCCACTACAGCATTAAGTCTGAGGTGAGAATTACCACTGCGTGAATCATCCAAACCAAAACTATGTTGATGTTTTCAAAGAAACGTGACCAATGCTCACTGAGTGGTGTCCTGACATAAGAAGTAGTATAGGAATTTCAGAGAACGTTTTGTGGGAGGAAGAAAACTACACTGCCTTTCGTCAGCACAAAAATTTTAGGCAAAGGAACAATGAAGTAACTGAGGAAACACTGTAAGTGAATTGTGGGTTAAAGATCATAGAATATTACATATCCTTAAAACTTTGAGAATAATAGTTTCACTGATATCATTCTTTCTTTTATCAGAAAATTCAAAGCATCACCACCTTTATTTTCTAACCACATTGAAATTCATTGGTAATGCTCAGAGCTGTAAAGCGTATATTAATGTTATAATCACCGTGCAACCCACACTCAAAATATGTGACTCAAAGTAGCTATCAAACTAGGTGTGTTAATAGCAAATATTTGACAAATCAAATGTATATGTGTATATATTGTATATGTATTGCTGCTGCTTTAAATAGTGAATCACCTAATAAATCTTTAACATAACTAGTGGAAGCAGCGCAACAGAACAAAAAGAATGCTAAAGTGGCACAGAATACTATGCAGTATAAAATACATGTGCTAAACATACAAATAAAAAAAGTTACATCAGTGAATGTCCAATTCATAAAAATAAATAATATGCTTCATGCAAGTTCACCAAAAAAATGAAAAAGTCCTTCTGATCCTCTGATCTACCACGTGATTAAATGCATAAATTCCACAAGTGACAAATATACTTCACTCCATTGTCACCACGTGCTCCAGAGAAGAACCTCCCCTAATTAAGTGGCACTCACCAGATATCATGGCCCATCTTAGCTTGATAGGTTATATTGAGCTTGTGGTGAGTGTCAAACGTAATAAGACTCCTCAATCACTTAGCCGCTCGGCAGTTAAAGGCTGGTGGAATGGTAGGACATCCTCTAAAAATATTAACTCTGCCACAAGGAAGGGAATAAAGGAAAGCTCATAGCGTGATACCGCTTTAAAACAATTTATTATAAAAATAGTAAATAAACTTACATAATGAAAGTACAAGCATGCCCAACATCCACGATATCCTCAGAAGGTAACGATCTATCGTAAAGTATAGACAGCGCCTCACCCAATCCTCCTCATTGCTTGCGAGCGCGGTAATGTTACTTCTTAGGGGGATGTGAGGTGGATGCCACTCAAAACAATTGTTGTGCAGCCTAACACTGATGTGTGGTACTTCATCATCTGACTTTATCAAAGGGTTTTTTTCTGTTGCGCTGCTTCCACTAATTATGGTAAAGATTTATTAGGTGATAGTTGAATGCTCTAAGTCTGTTTGTAGTGAAAATCTAAAGAAAAATGTTATGTTATTAATTAGAGATGAGCGAATCGAACATGGCGAAGTGGAATTCGTTTTGAATATTGGGAAATATTCGATTCGCGCCGAATCCGAAAATTAGCCCCAACTTCGGGATGAAACGAATCGAATTTTCCCAAAAATGGCGGCGACATGTGTCGGCAACGGAGTCGGGGATCTCTGGGAAGGCGCGCAGTACATAGGCGCGCTGACCCATAATGCATTCATTCATGACATGTGATCGCGCATTAGCCAATAAGCAGCCAGCCAGCCAGCACTTGTGTAATGGTGGAGCTATAAATTGCGGCCATCTTACAACATTTCCATTAGCCTCGGTCATTCAAGAGAGACAGACCTGTCTGTATTAGGGACAGAGTTAGGGCCATGAGAGACTTTAGGGCCACAGAAATCGTTGTTATACTTAGGGACACAGAATCGTTACTTAGGGACACAGAATCGTTACTCAGGGGACACAGAATTGTTACTCAGGGGACACAGAATTGTTACTCAGGGACAGACACAGAATTGTTTACTGAAGGACACAGGAGAATTGTTACTCAGGGACACAGAATTGTTACTCAGGGACACAGAATTGTTACTCAGGAACACAGAATTGTTACTCAGGAGGACAGACACAGAATTGTTACTGAGGGACACAGAATTGTTACTCAGGGACACAGAATTGTTACTCAGGGGGACACAGAATTGTTACTCACGGGACAGACACAGAATTGTTACTGAGGGACAAAGAATTGTTACTGAGGGACACAGAATTGTTACTCAGGGACACAGAATTGGTTTATACTCAGGGACACAGAAATTGTTACTGAGGGACACAGAATGTTACTCAGGGGAACAGAATTGTTACTCAGGGACAGACACAGAAATTGTTACTCAGGGACACAGAATTGTTACTCAGGACAACAGAAATTTGTTACTGAGGGGACACAGAATTGTTACTCAGGGGACAGACACAGAATTGTTACTCAGAGACACAGAATTGTTACTCAAAGACACACGAAATTGTTACTGAGGGACACAGAATTGTTACTCAGGGACACAGAATTGTTACTCAGGGACAGACACAGAAATTGTTACTGAGGGGACACAGAATTGTTACTGAGGGACACAGAATTGTTTACTCAGGGACAGACACAGAATTGTTAATTCAGGGACACACAGAATTGTTACTCAGATGGACACAGAATTGTTAGACTCAGGGTCCAGACACAGAATTGTTACAGAGGGACACAGAATTGATACCTTGAGGGGACACACAATTGTTATGAGGGACAACAGAATAGTGTACTCCAGGGACACTAGAATTGTTACTGATGGGGACACATAATTGTTACTGAGGGACACAGAATTGTTTACTAGAGGGACACAGAATTGTTACTGAGGGACACAGAATTTGTTACTCAGGGACAGACACAGAATTGTTACTGAGGGACACAGAATTGTTACTGAGGGACACAGAATTGTTACTGAGGGACACAGAATTGTTACTGAGGGACACAGGAAATTGTTACTCGGGACACAGAATTGTTACTTCAGGGACAGACACAGAAAATTGTTACTGAGGGACACAGAATTGTTACTGAGGGACACAGAATTGTTACAGCTGCAGAGGGACACAGAATTGTTACTCAGGGACAGACTCACACCGATTGTTACTTCAGGGACACAGAATTGTTACTCAGGGACACAGAATTTGTTACTGAGGGACACAGAATTGTTACTCAGGGACAGACACAGAATTGTTTTACATCAGGGACACAGAATTGTTACTCAGGGACACAGAATTGTGTACTGAGGGACACAGAAATTGTTACTCAGGGACACAGAATTGTTACTCAGGACAGACACAAGAATTGTTACTCAGGGACAGACACAGAATTTGTTAGGATCAGGAACACAGGAATATTGTTTTACTGAGTGGGACACAGAATTGTTACTGAGGGACACAGAATTGTTACTGAGGGACACAGAATTGTTACGCTCAGGGACAGACACAGAATTGTTACTCAGAACAGGACACAGAATTGTTACTCAGGGGGACAGACACAGAATTGTTACTCAGGGACACAGAAATTGTTACTGAGGGACACAGAATCGTTACTGAGGGACACAGAATTGTTACTTCAGCGGACACAGAATTGTTACTCAGGGACACAGAATTGTTACTGAGAGACACAGAATCGGTACTGAGGGACTACAGATTGTTACTCAGGGACACAGGAATTGTTACTCAGGGACACAGAAATCGTGTGATTAATTGCTGTAAAGTATGTCAGACAACAAGCAGAGGAGTGGCAGAGGAGCGGCAATGTTTCAGGAGCGAGCTGGACAGTGGCAGCAGAGGAAGGGGTTGAGGTGGCTGCACTTAGTCGCACACGGCAGAGGCCAGTGCTCACCCGGTGTCATCCTGGTCTGCGGTGTGTCTCCACCGACAACCCTGCCGTCATCGATTGGTTGGCTCGGTCGTCTTCCTACTTTCCCAGGTCACCTCTGACACCTACAGCCAACGGTCGGTGGGTACGTCAGACACAAAACCGTTAGTTGGCATGGCCCGGGAGCAAGTCGGCCCACTGAAATCACGTGTCCCCAGACCTGCCCCTGTCCTTTATGCCCGGTGTTCCCTCCCAAGCGAAAGTATCTGCATTGCTGTGGGCTTCAGCCCCACTGTACAGTGAGGAAGAGCTAACAGAGGGCGGTCAGGAACGGGGGGAGACATCCGCCTCTTCAGCAGCCAGGCGAAGAAGTACTGGCGAGGAGAGTGGACTCGGTATAGCCGGTCTAGAGACAGGTCTGTCTCCTGACCCACACACGCAGCCGAGGGGGGCTATTAGTGAGGCCGGAGACCCTCAATTGATGATGATTGAGGCTGATCGCACTTTGCAGCCTCGTCGTCATTATCTGCCACGGCCCGTAATCTGCCATGGGCCCCCGTACCGATTCTCCTCATGCTGCTGCCAGGCCCGTTAATCGCGCAGATTACCCTGTCCATGGGCCCCTGAACCGCCTCCTCATGCTGCTGCCAGGTCCAGAGTGTGTCATGGGTCCCTGTACGGCCTCCCATTGCTGCTGTCTCCATCGCCACACTCTGCCATGTGCCACTTTCAGGTCTCCTCACACTGCTGGTGGGTTCCATTTTGTCATAGGGTGCTGGCAGAATTACGGGCCTCCCATTGCTTGCTGCTGCAGGCCCGTAATCTGCCATGGGCCCCCGTACCGCCTCCTCATGCTGCTGCCAGGTCCAGAGTGTCTCATGGGTCCCTCTACGGCTCCTCCCATTGCTGCTGTCTCTCCATCGCCACACTCTGCCTGATTGCCACTTTCAGGTGTCCTCACCACTGCTGGTGGGTTCCAATTTTGTCATAGGGTGCTGGCAGATTACGGGCCTCCCATTGCTGCTGCCAGGCCCGTAATCTGCCATGGCCATCCCGTACGCTCCTCAATGCTGGCATGCCAGGGTCCACGAGTGTACAATGGGTCCCTGTCCTCATTGATGCTGTACTCCATCGCCACACTCTGCCATGTGCCACACTTTCAGGGTCTCCTCACACTGCTGTGGGATTCCATTTTTGTCATAGGGTGCTGGCAAGATTCACGGGCCTCCCATTGCTGCTGCCCCGTAATCTGTCCATGGGCCCCCTTTAACCCGCCACCTTGCTGCTGCTAGCCAGGTCCATCATGGGGTCCCTGTCTACCGCCTCCTCACTGCTGCCAGGTCCCAGAGTGTCTCATGGCGTCCCTGTATGGCCTACTCATTGCTGCTGGTCTCCATCGCTCACACTGCCATGTGCCACTTTTCAGGTCTCCTCACACTGCTGGTGGGTTCCATTTTGTCATAGGGTGCTGGCAGATTACGGGCCTCGCCATTTGCTGATTGCCAGGCCCCGTAAATCTGTCTGCCCCTCGTACCGCCATGCTGCTGCCAGGTCCAGAGTGTGTCATGGCTGTCCCAGTACCGCCCGTAATCTGTCCATGGGGCCCCCTGTACCGGCCTCCTCATGCTGCTGACAGGTCCAGTACAGTCCTCATGCTCTGTCATGGGTGTCCCTGTACGGCCTCCCATTGCTGCTGTCTCCATCGCCACACTCTGCCATGTGCCACTTTAGGTCTCCTCACACTGCTGGTGGGTTCCATTTTGTCATAGGGTGCTGGCAGATTACGGGCCTGCCCCATTGCTGCTTGCCAGGCCCGTAATCTGTCATGGGCCCCTGTACCGCCTCCTCATGCTGCTGCCAGGTCCAGATGTGTTTGTCATGGGTCCCCGTACCGCGCTCCTCATGCTGCGAGGTGCCAGGTCCAGAGTGTCTCATGGGTCCCTGTACGGCCTCCCATTGCTGCTGTCTCCATCGCCACACTCTGCCATGTGCCACTTTCAGGTCTCCTCACACTGTGGTGGGTTCCATTTTGTCATAGGGTGCTGGCAGATTACGGGCCTCCCATTGCTGCTGCCAGGCTCGTAATCTGCCATGGGCCCCTGTACCGCCTCCTCATGCTGCTGCCAGGTCCAGAGTGTCTCATGGGTCCCTGTACGGCCTCCCATTGCTGCTGTCTCCATCGCCACACTCTGCCATGTGCCACTTTCAGGTCTCCTCACACTGCTGGTGGGTTCCATTTTGTCATAGGGTGCTGGCAGATTACGGGCCTCCCATTGCTGCTGCCAGGCCCGTAATCTGCCATGGGTGACTGACAGTATTATTTCTTTTCCCCAGCAGACTCCAAGGGCATTTAAATTAAAGGTACAGTGTTCTGCACTAAATATAAAGGTTCTCTGAAGCCTAGAGAAACACCCTTTTTATAAGTTAAATTCGCAGCGAATATATTCGACTCAAATCGAATTTATTCCGCGAATTCGCCGAATCAGCCGAATCGAATTTTTGAATACTTCACTAATCAATAGTTATTATTGTAGTGTTTTCACTTAACAGTAGTTGCAATAATTTAACCTATTTTCCCTATTTTTGTTATTGTATTAATTGTAGGTATATGTAGATTACACACAGGAGAGCGATATGATCATCTACTGTAATCACTCACAAACTGTTAAATGGTGTTTGTTGTCAGTGGAGGAATTTATGAAAGCATTTGTAACAATTTTTTGGCAATATATTCATCAAAGTATTGCAACAGTTTTGTTAACCATTTCGATACATTAGGACAGATTAATCAGATTCATGTATTTCTTTAAATCATTTTTGCAATGTGTTGTTATGGCTGTGACAAATTCAAAAAGTTTGTATATAACAAAAATGGAGGTGATTAAGACCAAGAGAGGAGGAGGTTGCGTGTTCAACTTTATTAATGTTTTTTGCATTTACTTCATTGGTTGCTAGGTTGCAGGCTGTCAGCATCCTAACAACCAGTGATGCATGCTAAAAACCAACAGTGGGGAAAGCCTGATGGATACCCTGAAATACTAGTTCCTCATCAGGTCCCCATTCCTTGTGATTGACAGTGGATGGCAATGGTCAGATTTCATAGCCAGAACTTCAGCTGAATAGTGGATATGTCAATGACACAGGAGACAGACCAGATGGGGAACTAGTCTCTGAGTCCCCTATCAAGCTCTGCCTACCCAACAACTTGATTCCATGGTTGCTGCCCCTGTTGGGTGGGCAAAACCTGATGGGGAACTCTGGGATACTGGTTCCCCATCAGGTCATCCTTCCCTGTGATTGAAATTTAGGGGTGTTAACTAATCATCAAGCCTAAAATCAGCATTTTAACATGTGTGCAAAAAATGAAAAGCAGCACCAGAACTAAAGTGTTTAATAAGATAACTATTTTTAAATCATAGACATGAAATTCCTTAGCTTGTTTAAAAAAAGTGTTGTTTTAAAACCTAGGGAATAATTTAAAAAGAGATTTATGAGTGGGGATTTTATGCTGAAATCCTCATATTCAAGGTAGAGAATTGCAAATGTGTACAGGTGAATCTCAAAAAATTAGAATATTGTGCAAAAGTTCATTTATTTCAGTAATGCAACTTAAAAGGTGAAACTAATATATGAGATAGACTCATTACATGCAAAGCAAGATAGTTCAAGCCGTGATTTGTCATAATTGTGATGATTATGGCTTACAGCTCATGAAAACCCCAAATCCACAATCTCAGAAAATTAGAATATTGTGAAAAGGTGCAATATTCTAGGCTCAAAGTGTCCCACTCTAATCAGCTAATTAAGCCAACACCTGCAAAGGGTTCCTGAGCCTTTAAATGGTCTCTCTGTCTGGTTCAGTAGGAATCACAATTATGGGAAAGACTGCCGACCTGACAGTTGTGCGTAAAACCATCATTGACACCCTCCATAAGGAGGGAAAGCCTCAAAAGGTAATTGCAAAAGAAGTTGGATGTTCCCAAAGTGCTGTATCAAAGCACATTAATAGAAAGTTATGTGGAAGGGAAAAGTGTGGAAGAAAAAGGTGCACAAGCAGCAGGGATGACCGCAGCCTGGAGAGGATTGTCAGGAAAAGGCCATTCAAAAGTGTTGGGGACTGAGGCCCTGAGGCAGCAAAGCAGCCCCAAACCATGATGCTCCCTCCGCCATGTTTTACAGTGGGGATGAGGTTTTGATGTTGGTGTGCTGTGCCTTTTTTTCTCCACACATAGTGTTGTGTGTTCTTCCCAAACAACTCAATCTTGGTTTCATCTGTCCACAGTATATTTTGCCAGTAGTGCTGTGGAACATCCAGGTGCTCTTTTGCAAACTTCAAACGTGCTGCAATATTCTTTTTGGACAGCAATGGCTTCCTCCGTGGTGTCCTCCCATGTACTCCATTCTTGTTTAATGTTTTCCTTATTGTAGATGTGTCAACAAAATTGTTAGCATGTGCCAGAGATTTCTGTAGGTCTTTAGCTGACACTCTGGGATTCTTCTTTACCTCTTGCAGCATTCTGTGCTGTGCTCTTGCAGTCATTTTTACAGGATGACTGCGCCCAGGGAGAGTAGCAACAGTGCTAAACTTTCTCCATTTGTAGACAGTCTGTCTTACCGTGGACACATGAACATCAAGATATGGAGATACTTTTGTAACCCTTTCCAGCTTCATGCAAATCAACAATTCTTATCATAGGTCTTCTGAGAGCTCTTTTCTGCGAGGCATGGTTCACATCAGACAGTGCTTCTTGAAAGCAGTAAACCCAAAACAGGTGTGTGTTTTTTAAGGGCAGGACAGCTGTCAGCAACACATCCAATAACATCACACTGATTGGAGTCAAGGTTGGCTCACTCCTGGCTCCAATTAGCTCTGGGAGAAGTCATTAAGCTAGGGCCTCACATACTTTTTCCTCCCTGCACTGTGAATGTTTACATGTTATGTGCAATTAAACCATGGCAACATCTAATGTTTGTGTAGTATTATGTTCAGCAGACTGTATTCTTCTATTGTGACTTAGATGACGTTCAGAGCACATTTTATGCCCAATTCATGCAAAACTCCACGTAATCCCAAGGGGTTCACATACTTTTTCTTGCAACTGTATGTATTTGTTTTGTATAAAGTGGGGAATGGTTAGACTAAGTTTTTGGCGATACATACACTATAATTATAAAGTCAAAATCCTATTACATATTTAAAGTTGACATACACTGAAACTGAAAGCATGTAGATTGGTAAGAGCTATGTATTATAAACAATTGTCTTTTTAAATAAAATATTTGTTTTTAGCTTTTTTCATTCTTTGTTGCTTTGTTGCATTTTGTTGCTTAGGGTAGGTTTCCCAAGGGATACGATAGTGGATCATACCTATGTAATTTGTGATGATGTCAGGAACTGGATCACCTGCTGATGGTACTGTGGTTCCTGAATCTGAAGGCTTTAGTTCAGGTGTCCACCAGTGGGTGATTCCCAGTAGCTATCAGATCCCAGAAATTAGTTCTGACCTGACACAAGTGGCTGGGTGAGTATTTAGCCTCTCTAGCTTTCCACAGAGCCTCAGCGTTCTGCCCTGTTTGCCAAACATCCTGATCCTGTTTCTCTTTTACTAGTGATCTTGCTTCCATACCTGCTACCCTGATCCCTGCTGCCCTAAAACTGTTACCCTGATTTTGCTGCCTCTACCTGATCCTTGTCCCTGCTCTGGCCCCCTTCCTGACCCATCTCATCCACTGTTCTTGCACCATCTGCCTGGCGCTATCTTGCTCACTCTCTGTCCTGTCCCTTGTCCATATTTAAATTTAACTTTAACTAACGGTAATTTTTAAAAATTGAAATAATAAACATGTGAAGCCGGGTCTCTTGCGACCCCTCCTGTCAGCAATTCACAGTTTAATCACAAGGCAGGGCTGAATGTTTGGACTCTCTTTCCCCTCTCTCCTAGCAACAGCAATGGACCAATCAGCAGTAAGGAGGGGAGAACCAGAAATTTCAGGAAAAAAGATCCTCCTCAGAGTGTGATGGAGAGGGATGTCACAGGACCATACTGAGGAGCTCCATTTTAACAGAGAAAGAGTCTGTGTCAGATGTGAATTCTCTTCAGAGTGTGACCAGAGCTGAGTCTGACAGGAACTGAGTGTGCCAGGACCAGGGGCGGACTGACAACCCATGGGGCCCCCAGGCAATAGGGGATCATGGGGCCCCTGTGTCCTTGCCCAAACTCAAAAAAGTCTATGAAAAAGGTACCAGGGGCATCTCATGGGGCCCCCTACTGACCCCGGGCCCTCGGGCAGTGCCCGTGTTTCCAAATGGTCAGTCCGCCCCTGGCCAGGACTGTGTCAAGGAGCTCCATTTATGACAAAAAAGAGCCTGTGTCAGCTGAAGCCCACTGCCGTGCGAGGGACTACCAGAGGACAAACCAGTGACCAGATTTAGAAG